TGGATACTCCTCCGGAAATGCTCGATCCATGGCCGCCGGCCTGAGTTCCAAGATACTATGGGAAAGAGGATGGTAGGTGAGATTCGGGATTGTGGCTGCGTTCGCGCTTATATCCTTGTAGCACTGTTGTGATCGCAGCGCAGCAACGCGCATTGCTGCGCTGTACAGCGCGTCGAATCTGAAGGCTGCCTTGCAAAAGTTGACAGGTCTTAACAGTGGCTTGACGAACTTGCTCCAGCTTCACAAGCGTTAATAGGTTTCACCAGAGTGGGACTCGTAAACTGAAACTAGTGAAACAAGCAGCGAGAGTGGGGTGTCCCCCCCCCCGCTCCGTCGCCGATTTGCGCCCATGTTTCTTTTCTCGCCCTTGTTTTTTTGATGTCACTGATTGACTTTGCTGTTTTCACATCGTTTCAGTCGTCATCGTTATCCTATTACAATTGGCTTGAAGTTGTACAGTGTGTATGTGTGAGTATGTCAATCTGTCAGTATGTCTATTTGTCTGTCTGTCTCAATGACTAGGAATGATGATGATGCGTTGTATAGGCACCGTTTGTTGGCACATTGACGTGCAATACGAGTCGCCTAATCTGATTCGTGTCTGCTTTTCCTCATCTTCGCCATTCATGCAGGGATCCCCCAACCCCCAGGTTTAGCAGCGTTCACCCCTACACCCCCCCCCCTTTCCGCCTCCATTTTCCTTCAGTCATGAACATATTCCATGTCAGATGGGTTCCTTCTCGTGCTCGTTGTCTACGTTGCCTCGTACACTGCACGCTATCCGCCGTTCCCCTACCTTCTTCCCACCAATCTATCCTCTCTTTGTGTGTGTACAGTTCCACTCAATGTGGCGTTAATGCGACCTCTTCTTCTGTTTTATTTGTTTCACTAATCTGGAGACTATTTCATTGTACAAGTGTACATAGCGATTTATGATTCAGCGACCTACGCCCACTTTGTTTTGCTTCTTCATTAGCCGAGTGGTGTCATCATCCTCCTCTTCCTCACAGCGTCGTGGTTTCAGTGCTAACTGGTCGTTTTGTTTCCCTTTGGCACTTATTCACTGTCGTACTCTCGCATCCTCTCAACACGTTTCCTTAGCTCTCGAATTGCTTTAGAACGTCCAGAGATGAGCAGTTTCCGAGTGGTCATTTGCTTCGATGCTGTTTATGACTGTAACTGATAACTTTGGAAGCTGCATAAATCATATATAGAGAAGTTTTCGGTTTAAAGGCAATTCCCGCGACCACACTTCATAGGTAATACAGTTCAAAAATAGAATTGCCGTGTGTTTGTTGACTTATTGAAGAAGAAGGAAGCACGAAAAAGCGCCCGGAATAAGACCCTCTTTATTGCAATTGATCATGATCACCGGACGAGCGTAAGGTGGTCAAGATCAATTGTGAATTGCGAAAGGCGGCGATACACTGATAAGAGACGAGAGAGGCCAGAAAACGACGGGCGAGAGAGCGCAATGGCAGTCTCACAACGACACGGTCACTGGAGGCCGGCATGGGCCTATCGGGCGCAAATGGGCCTAAAACCTGAGCGCCCTGCCCGTCTTTACTTAGACTAGCTTTTTCATCTTTAAAACAGCGCGTAGCCGTCTGACGTTGCACCGCTTGACCATCGTGGCACGAGTTAGAGACCTAGCCTTAGTTATTATTGCGGAGATCATTGCCTTTAAAGTAACTTAAAAGTTACCAAGTAGCGAATGCCCCAGTAAATCCATCAAGGAGTGGGCGGAGTCGTCGGGGGCAGAGTTAAATGTACAATATAGTAGGGGTATATTCAATGCTCTAATGTGTAATAGATGAAAAGTTTGTAAAACTGCTATAACATCTATATATAGTTTAAATGTGTTTAATGTGAATGTAAATGGTGTCGCGACAAAAGGACGGAGTTATCTGGGCGTGACATGTAACCGGAGTGCATTGTTCCATAGAAAAATGTGCGGTGGGGGCGCTTTCGCCGATTTGCAGAGTAAGCCGCCTTCCGCTTCGGCAAGGAATCCTGGAGAAGAGGATTCTTTCCAACCATTATAGCGCCTAATACGTGACATGTTGATCGAGATGCTAAATGGAAGCGCTTGCCCACAAATGCTCCGGAGTCTTATCGCTTCATATATGAAGTACAATTGATATGAAGTGTTGCTACATGGATATGTGAATACACAGGCGAAGCTGTATCTACCGGAGTGGTTGTTGGCACGATGCCAACAGGAAACTCGTCCAAAGCTACCCTGTGTTAGCCGTATACTCGCCCAATGTTGTACAAAACAAGGCTTTTTTCGCAGGCGTTTGACCCTTGTACTTCGCTTTTTCGCCATCTCCTCAGTATCTAGCAGCCTTGTTACCATTTTGGACCGTGCACCAAATAACTATGCTTCATACCTATGAAAGGACGCCTGCAAATTGCTCGAGTGCAGGGAATGTCTTTAAAGGCGAACTGTACACTCACCTCCGCGAACGGTCATCTCCATACATCAGGCGGATAGGTCTGCAGCTGTGGTAGCGTACCATTTCCACCCCTCAAAAATGCACGGGGAGGGGCTGGAGAACAGCGGCATCCGAATGCCCTCACAAGATTCCACCCACGGTGCCGCCAGTCATACGGTTAACCGTAGCCAAGCGCGCCACTAGTCTGCGCTCTCTCACTTCTGGTTGTTCTCTACCGCTGAGTGGGTGTTTCGCCGCAGGACCTTAGCATCGACGCGGCGTGCTGCAGCTTGAGAGCAGCGTGGGTGGAGTATGGAGTCGGCGCTCAGGTACCGTTACCAGCATCACCTTTCTGTGAACATTGAGCGGAGAAAATGGCTTATCTGAACCCCAGACGAATCCGAAACTGCATTCTTCTTTGCATTCCACCGGGCTACATTTTGCAGGAATAAAATTCATAAACTGCTGCCTGTTTCCTTCTCTGGTGCGACCCTCTTTCTCACCCTACCTGAGGTCTTGCCAAACTTTCCCGACTTCTGGTTATTTTCCGGATTTTTCCTTAGCCCCTTCTTTGTCTCGAGAAAAAGGTGTCGAGTGGCGGCGAGGGGCGAGGGGAGGGGGTGGGTGAAGGTGGGTACATAAGAACCATAAAACCGGAAAAACCGACGAGAAACGAAAATGTCTCCCCTATGTTTTACCTAACGAAGTGTCATCTCTATAACTGCAGTGCAGCCAACGATTTCAGATTTTGAGAACTGAACTTATTGCGAGCAATTTTTTAGCCTCGGCGCATCTATGTGGGAATTTCTAACATAGGACATTATCTCATCGTCGATAGCAGGTGCAAGGAAGGTGGCTACAGCTAATGAAGAGGTTATCACGATGTATCGGGGTTGCCCTCAACATTGTCTTCAGCATACGTCAAGGTTAAGCCATGACGTGGTGGTGAATCCCAACGACTGGGTCTAGCAGTAAATGTCATTCATGCGGTACTTGGTACTTTCATGATATACTGTCTTTCCTAGTAAACACATCTGAATCAGCATTGTGCATTAGCTCCAGACATGAGCAGATCTATGGAATTGAGTAGTTATGAGAAAAACAAACTCATTATTCAAGAGAGGGCAATTTAGGGGGTGCACTTGAGAAACGACGACGGCTTGACCTTGAGAGTACTTCATTTATTGGAAATGTTCTGGTGCATACAAATTATTTCTCATGCTCATTCATATTAATTTGCTTCCATTAACAAAAAATACTTTAAGGATACTGTATCTAATGATTTTCCAAGTATTGTGTCATCGTTTTGCACTGGCAGTTTCTGAGGA